CTCCCTGCCCCGTCCCTCTTCCCTACCCTATCGGCTTGAGTGTGCGTGTGTGTTCTTTCATCACGGGCTCCTGTCCATGGTGTACCTTTTCCCGCACGTCCCGTTCGGCACCGCCTGATCCCCGGGCTTCGCCCGCCCCTGGCCGCGTGAGGCCCCGCCTTATCCCGCCCTTTCTCTGCCAATTAAAGCTGTGCGCGTCCCGCGTAGCTTTCAGCGGAAGAGGTTCGCTCTCGCCCTGCAGATCAAACAATCATTTCACCACCTTCTGCCCGCCCGGCTGCCTGCGCCGCTGCCGCCTTCTCCGTCGCCAGCAGCAGGGCGGCGAGCGGGATCACCGCCCACCGTGTGGCTCGGCTCCCGGGCGGCCGCTCGGGACGAGCTGGGCACCCCGAGGACGCCCTCGGTGAGGGCGCAGCTGCTGGAACGCATCCCGTGGCTGGAACACCGCCGAAAACAGACGAAAACGTCTGAACACTCGGGACCTCCTTCTCCGCCTCCGCCTCCTCCTCCTCCGCCTCCTCCTTCTCCTCCTCCTCCTCCTCCTCCTCCTCCTCCTCTCCGCCTCCGCCTCCTCCTCCTCCTCCTCCTCCTCCTCCTCCTCCGCCTCCGCCGTCTCCCCTGCGCGGGCAGCTGCGCGCCGGCGCCCCGGGGGGGGGGGGGCTGCCGCCCGTGACCCGCGCCCTCGGCAGGGCCAGCCCCCGCCTTGCCCCCCCTTCGGGACGAGGAGAAGCTCGGCCAGGCGGATTTCGGCGCGGAAAAGCTCGACCAGGACGAGGGAAAGCTCGACCAGGAGTGGGACCAGGACCCAGGACCAGGACAAATTTGTCCAGGACGAGGGAAAGCCCTCGCCCCCCCCCCCCCCCCCCGCGGACAGGACCAGGAAACGTTCGACCAGGACGAGGACAAGCTCGGCCAGGCTGAACTCAGCCAGGCTGAACTCGGCTCAGGCCGAATTCAGCCTGACTGAGTTCGGCCTGGCCGACTTCGGCCTGGCCGAGTTTTTTTGCAGGCCGAGTTTATGATTGCAGCCCACCTCCCCGTGATCATCACCCGCCCGTGAACCACTGGCTTGGACCAAAATGCCTTGGGCCAAATGCCTGCCTTTCTCCCTGACCTTCTTGCAGCTCCACTTCCTCCCCGATTCTCCTTCCCCACGTCCCATTCCCTCCTCGTTCTCTTCCTCCCTCTCCTCCCCCTTCTTCCCTCCCCCTGGGGAAGCCAGGCCGCCGATGATTCCGGATGGCACCCCTGACAGCCAGGCCCGGCGCTGCCCCATCTCTCTTCTGACGCTGACCCCATTGAGCGGGCCGAGGTGCGACGGACAGCGGAGGAGAGGGATGACTTTTGAGAGGAGTGGTACGAGGAAGGGTGGAGGACCGGGAGGAGGAGGAGGAGGAGGAGGAGGAGGAGGAGGAGGAGGAGGAGGAGGAGGAGGAGGAGGAGGAGGAGGAGGAGGTGGAGGTGGAGGTGGGACTGTGGAAAGGTGGGACGGTGAGGAGGAGGGGCAGAGAGGGCAGGGAGGGGGGGCAACAGGATTTCGAGGAGGGGAAAGAGCAGAATTTGGAGGAGGAGGAGGAGGCACAGGATGGTTATGACCTTCACACTACCACCATCACGAAAAAGCTCGGTCACAAGATGCGAGCCAGATCAATAAACACGCCTTCCAGAATGCTGTATTTACGCATTGTCCTGCAGCCGATTCTCCTGTCCAGATGTGCGTCGGAGCTTGAACGAGATGTGCGCTATGAACCAGCCCGGCGGCTGGTGCGTGCAGTGAAGAAGCCATGAACGCCAGCCCTGGGCACGGCGCTTGGGCACCACTGCCGTCACTGATCCGGGATTCCGGCAGGGAGCGTGGGCAGAAGATTGCGCCATCGGCACCCCGTCGGGGAAACAATACGCTACAAGAGAGCGGGCACGTGGACTCGACTGTGAAGCATAAAAAGCAAGGAGCCCCACGACTGTGAAGCAGAAAAGCAAGAACGCCACGCGAATTCGGAACGCAAAGGGGAAGGAAGAGGAGGAGGCGGAGGAGGAAGAGGAGGACGACGAGGAGGGGGAATATGAACTGCCGCACTTACGCCTCACTGTAGTAGTCTATACACGCAGTGGGCCCATTTTAGCTTGGGGCGGTCGCGTCTCCGGACCTTCAATTGCCACTGATTTTGTGCATTCGTTCCAGGCTGGCGCACCTAATATCGCAAGTACGAATGTGATATCCCCTATATTATTCGAAGTCAAGATGCTTGGAAGCTGTCCAGCCTTTGCCAGTGTGCTTGTAATAGCCACAATGGTTCAAGAATGTACAGTAGTCACGGCACAACTATAGCATCACATAACCGATCTTTTCGTGATTTTGAAATACTCGTATGGTTCCAACATTTACCCTGTGCTCTGAGCATCTGTCGTGCTTTGCCTAGTCGTCTCGTACTTTCTGGTTTGTTTTCGGCGCTGTTGTGCAAGAGCCCACCCAAAAAGGCTGCTTGATGTGCGTGTTTGACTGGCTGCAACGCAGGGTCGCGTATGACACCGTCGTCGTTTATTTTCAGCTCCGCGGTTTTCGCCAAGTTCAAATCAAGGCCGTACTTTTTGCCCACGTTGATGGTGAGGTCCAGGATCATTTCAATTTTCAAAGAGCTTGCGCTCACGAGCATGGTGTCGTCCGCGTGCAACACATCACTACATACAGCGTACTGTGGCTCCACAAAGCCCATGTCCAGCTCTTTGTGCAGCTTGTCCACGTCGAAAAACATCACTGTTTGAATACTATCGAACAAGTATGGGGGAATTGGGCATCCTCGGGCTATTCCTGCTCGTAGCTGTCTGATACTGGAATCGCCTGCCGTATCGTTCAGAAGGAAGTCGCGGGATCTGTACATAACACCAATAAATGCGAGCATTGGTTCTGGAATGCCAAAGCGCGCTTGATCATCGCATCGTGTGTTATCCTGTCGAATGCTGTAGCCCAGACAAGTAAAACAACCACCAATCCAGGGTGTTTCGAGCATCCCGCAGCGCCGATCATGCGCAAATTACGTTGGTCGTATTCGTTTCTCTGCCACTCCATTTTGTAATCGTTTTCGGATCATGGAGGCTACAACCTTCGTGTCGCACAGGTCAGAGAGAAGTTGGCGGTAATTATCATATACATTTGCGCCCTCTTTTAATCTAATAGCACCACTGTTGCAAACCGCCATGTTTCTGGTTTGTCTTTGTGTTTCCAACACTGCTCGCATCCGTCCAACAGTTTTTCGCACGCGGTGCTCGATATGCGTAATAATTTCCAGAACTCATGTCCTATCCCATCCCGGCCCGTGGCCTTTGCAGTCGCTAGGTTGTTCAAATTTGCAGTGAGCTCGCCCATGGTGAAGGCATGCGTAGCAATTGGCAGAGGCGCTGTCAGCGGACCCGAATGTGCGCGGCACTAATGCGAGAGTCACATTGTGAACCCCCCGTGCCCTCTATCTGTGAAGCTGTTGTCAAGTCTGAGCACCAGGTCATAAATAGTGAGGAAGTCTCAGGCGAAATGCCCAGCCTGCCGTTTCGACTGGTCTCAGGGTGCGATAGCGAGGAGTTATCTCTCAGGAAAGGAATGAAGGAGGAGGAGGAGGAGGAGGAGGAGGAGGAGGAGGAGGAGGAGGAGGAGGAGGAGGCGGAGCGGATGATAGAAGAGTGCCAGGCCACTGCCACCTTCCCAGCGCCCGCCGCGACCGACGCGTCGCCACTGTCCATGTGCGCCAGGGGCCAGGGGTCGGCGGCGGCAGCCGGCGAGGGGGGCGTGCCTTCTCCTCTTCCCTTCGCCTCCTCCCTTTCCCCCCTCCCTCCACCTCTCAGGCCACTTTGGTCTCAGACAGTCTGTTTGGGCCGACTCGTGCCTGCACGAAGGCGCTTGAGGCGAACTGTACCAGTTCCATTTTGAGAAGCCTCTTATTGCGACCAACTCGAGAGTTTCGTAGCATAATGGTTTTCTTGTTTAGCACAGTTCGGAACCAGATGAGAAGGGTTGAAGTTGTTGTGAGGGATGCGTCCGATTCGAATGGAACAGCACTCCTGTCCAACGAGTGCAAGTGTTCCAAGGGCAGCCGCAGAGTGCGACTGGAGGCTCCTGTACGCGCCGAAGTCCAAGCAGACTTCCAACCAGAGCTGGAGCCAGAAGCCTGACATGAGTGCAGCGGCGCCAGACTGGCGAGGTCACTACGCTCAAGCAGCTTGTCGTCACCACCTCGGACCTACAGCTCAAGCAACAGCTGCAGCAGAGTATACTGGTCATCGAGACTGCGGTAAATCCTGGTTTGGAGCGATCGTTCGGCGACTCGGGGCCGTCTTGGGGCCCTTCTGGACCCCTGGGCCCGTCTTGGGGCCCTTCTGGACCCGAACAGGGCACGCGAGAAGATGCGGGGGAGCCCAGAGGGTACGCCAGAAAACCGGGGGGAACCGCGGCAAGCCCCGGGAGATTTGAGAATTTTGGCTCTGGGCCCCTTACAGGCTCCTCGGGACTGAGGACTGAGGCTCCAGGGATCAGGCAAAGGACCTTAGGGCACTCCCACTCCACGCTCAGAGGCACGGTGACATCTACACACATATAGACAAACACACACACACACACACACACACACACACACACACACACACACACACACACACACACACACACACACACACACACACACACACACACACACACACACACACACACACACACACACACACACACACACACACACACACACACACACACACCACACACACACACACACACACACACACACACACACACACACACACACACACACACACACACACACACACACACACACACACACACACACACACACACACACACACACACACACACACACACACACACACTCTCACACACACACACACACACACACACACACACACACACACACACACACACACACACACACACACACACACACACACACACACACACACACACACACACACACACACACACACACACACACACACACACA